GCCATAACACAGAGAACCAACTGCATGTCTTGCAACACCGTCTCATTACATTTTCATGAACTTCCGAGCTTAATTTTCTCTGTACCTAAACATGAAGCAATATATATTTCTATCTTTGTAAACATTGAACATGTTGTTTTCTTCTTCTATCCAACAGACAGGTATCCTTGATTGCAGTGAGCATACGAATTGGAAGCCTGCCCAAAGCTAGATTATATATTGGGGCGCCTTTAGCATCACACTGCGGTGGACACAAGTGTGAAACAAGAAACAGATTGTATGTGTTTATATTTTTTTATAAATTTACCAGGATCCTTTTCCACTTTTGATAACTGTATTAAAGCTCTCTAATCAATACAGGGTCCACATCTGAACCACAGTCAATTATAGTTATCATTAATACGGCATATTGCTTGACGTGTCTAAATATTGAATACAAAGAGGCTTTCGTACTCAGTAAAGAATCCCCGCCCCGTACTATCATTTTTGTGTTTGAAATTCTTTATGGAAACGTTACAAATATAATGTCGCCTAATAAAACGTAATGACTGAGATTAGAAGAAAAGGTAAAACTGTAAAAAAAAAAAAAAAAAAAAAAAAGGAAAGTTTGTAACGGGGAAATATAATTATCCCTACCTGCAAATCTTTAATTGTCCCGATATATAAAGTCAGGGAAACTTTGGTATAACTATAACAATATGGATATCTCCCACAAATATTACTTAAGTGCGCAGTTTTGGAACGAAATTAATTTAATTGGGCAATGTGACATCACAAGGGTGATTAAAACAATTATTTTCGTTGTACTATATGACACTTACAGGTAACTCCTGTTACACCGATAGCATAAGAATTATTTCCACTATACGGCACATCACGATTGCGGGCATTGATAATCAGTCCGTACATCGTGCAAGCCTCAAGACCATTGAACTCTACTGATGAGTATGACAAGTCCTCATCCAAGTATGTACTCCCAGCCGGTGTCCTACTTCTATCACCATCCTTGTAGATTCTTGGATAGTAGTACCAGATCACTCCATTCGCATTTCTACAGTTGAGAGGTTGCCAGGTGAATCCTAATCGTGTTGGAGACGTCCTTTCTGGATTCACCCTAACATTTGTAATGTTGGATGGTGCTAAAGTGAATCAGAAATATGAGAAAACGTACCTAAATTTGTTCAAACTTGACGTGTTATTCGTTAACGTAGTAAGGCTAGGGTGAAGGTAGAAGGGAACATACATCGCAACCAAACTGTACCATTCATAATTTTGCATAAAGCAAAGGTCTTGAAATTATATTTTGACACCAATGCCTATGTTATATGAAGGGGAACTTAATGCAGATATTAACTGGTAGGAATACCGAAGGGAGTTAACATTTTTTAAAGGGTTTATTTTTTCACGAAGCGCACAGCTCCGAGGGGAATGGTGATCACGAGTTAAAATTCTCCCTTGCGAATTGCTAACCGGGAGGCGAATTTGTTTTTCCCAAACAAGTTTGCCAATGCTAATATATCCGGTCATCTGATTGGCTAATATGTTACGTCATTAGCAATGACGTAACCGTTAGGGTGAGTGATAGGGTTATAGAAATTATGCAGAATCACTTTTCATCAACCCATCGTTGGCTCAATCGGTAAGGACAGCGTGTTACTAATGTCACTTTGCAGTTGACTTGAGGGTTCATATCTCAGTTTATTCAGTTTTTTTGCCTTCATAAATAGTGAGGCAAAGCTATAAATAATCAAATTCTAATTGTTTGTGACCTCTTTCCAAGCTGCTAATGACGTAGAACATATCAACCAATCAAAAGAACGGAAATATAAGAAATTGCAAACCTGTTTGGGAATAAAAATTTCGCAACCGGGAGTGATAAAAGGATTATTACGACCCTCGCAATCGATATCACGTGACGAGCTTTGGACCAGTCACAAATTTGTTTCTGTATATTGTATCCAACTTTCATTATCATTACACGGATAACAAAATATATCACCTTATACATGTCTTGAAGATGTTATGGGGAACGGGTATTTTGCTTATTAGTTCATTACTCACGTCCTGGCCTGGTATCTGAATAGCCGATCGTGGGTTCACTCTGTCCGGCACCATTTACAGCTGTAACTGTGATCTGGTATCGCGAGTAAGGCTCCAACCCCACTAGATTGTATTGTGTGACGTTGGTGTTCAATTCAAACTCTGTTGGGGTGGTTTCTGGTGAAGAGCAGGCAAGCTTCTGATAGAGACTATAACGCATGATATAGTAGTCAGCGGAGCATAGGCTGGATGACAGTTCCCAGCTCACTTCAATTTGTGTGGTTGAAGGTGACGTGTGTAGGGCTTCTACACTTGCGGGTGCTGGAAATAAGTTTAAAATATAAATTTTAATGGAACTCGTAATTTGCAAATGAAGTAGATATGTTTTGGGTATTAAGAAAATGAAGATCCGTTAACATACACGTAATGATGGCATTTAGAACATATTTGACTACCATGTACTTTTAACATTGTCTCGCATTAAGACGTGAGTTCTTAAAAGTTAAATAATGATTCTATAATAACCACTACACTTTTAGCGTAGTGATATAGTCCTGTAAATTTCTTTGATAAAGAAGGAATATAAAATAGAATACCTTGCCATAATGAATGAGCAGTATGAGGTATTTAGAATGAATTACGACCCCAGCGTTATTTTTTAGCAACTAAACGCAAATAAATATACAAATACAAACAAAACAATTATTCTTACGTATCATAGACGTGCTCGCTGACAATATTTCTGAAGATATCCCTAACCCGTCTTTGTTTCTAAATGCAGCGTTGATGCCATACGTAGTACACTCTTCAAGCTGTCCAATGTTAGCAGTACCCGCCGTAGTATCAAATGACAAGGTTCGAGGCAAGCCATTTTGTCCATCGGTGCTGACATTGATTTCTAATCCAGACAGGGCACTGCATCCCCATGATTCCTCTGGTATTACCTGTTATCGATATAAATTTGAAAATGGGAAGAATGCACCAATTTTACCAATTGGCACATAGTAAGTTTAGCATATTCACCGTCAAGCCTTACAATTTTGACATACTCTGACTGGACGAAATTTCCTTGATGATTTCTAATGTTTGTTGACACATACGGAAGGAACATATATCCAAACTTATTAGCATAAAACATATAACAGGTACTTCAAGTACATTACATTAATGGCATGTAGGGCATTTGCGACCGTTATAAAAGCGCTCTTACGAAAATATGAAACGCATTTGTTATTTTCAAATTTAATAAGCAAGTTTTAATTATTGATATAATGTAAATTAAACTGAAATGCGTTTATGCATAGATAATTGTAAGAAATTATGTGAATTCTGTGCATCATTCTAACTTACCTCCCAATGCAAAGTGATAAATGTTCGACCTCTATTTCTCACAGACAAAACAGGGGGCTCAGAAGGTGCTGCAAAATCATTAAAACGAAGACGTATAAGTTTCATATTTGTAATTCAGTTACTGGTCAGTATACCTGTCTTGCCACCTTCAAAAGATCACTCAAAACTCACCTTTTCCCCCAATGATCTATGTGATATACTTCCTGTACTGTACTTTCTTGTCCTCTTTACATATATTTGTATTTGTAAGCGCTATGGTACTTATTGTTTTTAGCGCTCCTAAATATTCGATATTATTATTATTATTATGATAGAATATTCACGTCATGCACAAATTGTATTGTGCTGTCTAGATAATACACCAGTTCACGGTTAGTAAATGTCCCCAATGACCCTCAATATCCACATATCTTTAAAACATGAAGACATTTTGAAATAATCCCTCCCACAATAATAATAATAATAAATTTAATTTATATAGCGCTTAATACAAATGTCTCTAAGCGCTTTACAAAGATATTACAAAGATACAACGATGGAGGTGCTACTTCCACCTGTGTTTCATGGAGTGCACTGCTTTTGCATAAATGAATATTGATTACAAAACTTTCATGATCATCTTTCTAGTTTTTTTTCTCAGTGTAGTCTTGGTAAAGTAACAAGCACTGTACACAGAAAGACGTTTATGGGGCTACAAGAACATGCGGCATAAAAATCTGCCCCGATGTGTATGTTGTTACATGCCATATTTAGAATATGAAAGCATTTGAAGAGCCATGCTTTTCAGGTAACATGATTTATATGATGTTCTTCCGCACTTGCATAATAACAATGATAACGCTCACAAATTATTGTTCACCTCTTCCCAGAACTGAACCTTTTCTTTAAGGGTGAATTTCATTACATTCAGTCCAAATGTACAAGCTCTACATTCGAGAGCGAGAAACTTAACAAACGAGAACCATTAAAACAAATCGAATGTAATAGATCAAGGTCGTTTGGAACATCAATGTATTAAGGTCCTAATGGTCAGGAGAGAAATAGTGATCATAATATCCAATAAACTGTACTATTAATTTTATCATATTTATAATTACTTATGAAAATATCGCCACTTTATTTCCATTCATGTACAGTTCTTCAGCTTGATTGCAAATATTATTGTCAAATTACAAGAATTTTTCTTCGCTCACATATCCATCATTATTTGGTAGGTGCATATACTGCATTTATGTATATATTCTTTACAAAGGGTCCCTGTTATCCATAATGATAACAAATGCAAACGGTTAAACAAATTGTGTAGTAGTTAAGGATTTTTTTTCTCTCGAGAAATGACAAAGGCGGAACATCTTTGGTAACCGCAAGGTTGAATACTTCGTTTTTAATATTTGTATACAATTGATGACAATACATGGATTCCATTCATTGAATTTACTTTACCCACTCATGTTTTTAACGATATAATTGCCCATTATCCCAATCTTAAGTTAGAAGACGTTAATAAGGTCATGATTGTAAAGAGCGATTGACGTCAAAAAGTGAGCTCCTTCTAGATTACCCCCATCAAATGATGATGATGATCCAGTAATTATTAGTTTTCACAATAATTATCTACTGCTCTTACCAGTACACTTTGTCCTTGCTCCTGCTACTGAGCTCAACATCCCCTCACCCACTGGCCCCTCTCTCGAAGCCGTCACTCTGAAATCGTACTCTGTGTCCCGTGTCAAATTATTGATGGTGAAAGTTGGATCTATGATGAGATGTCCTGGGGCCTTGGCTATGTCATCCTGTTCGTGTGTGTTGTAGTAGACTCGATATCCAATCACTGGCCCATCACCACGATCATAAGTCTCATTCCAAGGTGCCCATCTTATGGTGATCGAGTGAGAGGTCACATCTAGGACGATTATGTTAGCTTCGAGAAAGCTTGGAGGTTCTGAGCGACAATTGAATTTGAAAAATGTTCTATGAAGACATCAAAATGTAAAGATTTTGTATTTAAAAATACGATGGAGATGTAAGCTACTAAGGAATCCGAACCACCCTAACCGCCCCTGGTTTTACCTCTCACGAACACCCTGTACTTAGAGTTTGGACGCAGCTCCAGGAAAGTGAAAGTAAAAGTTGAATTATTGACAGTCCCTGCTAAATTAATTCTAGGATCAATCGGGGTATGCTCTCACATTTCCCCTTGAAGAACATAGTATTTTATGTCATAGTATATACGTAGGCTGGCATGCAGGAGATGAAGGAGGTTGCCATGAGACTGTTATTTAGACCAGTAGTGCCACTGTCTTCCTGATGTTGGGTAACCTCTGTAATAACCGGCATTCCAGAAGCTTATAAGTGTACAGAAAGGAATGATTTTCATTCGGGCTAATTTAAGTTTCCAATAATGAATTGATTATACTGTGATTATATTAAATATAATCTCTATCTTAAAAATATGTATTGACTTCAATGACGCTTTGGTTTTCGGATCTATGTTATGCTCCTATCTTGGAGCAACGTTAAGCGATGGACTGTATTAAAGCTGATTTTATTTGAAACATATAATTTCCCACACCGTCCTTTGTAAAGCAATTACTCTTTAATCGCCAATTGTGCAATGTGTACAACGGACAAATCGCGCAATTCAACTCTTTATAAACAATACACATCTTCGATCTTATTTAGCAAACCTGATATATTAGTCATTGCCATTTCCATATGCCATTCACTCCTTCTCAATTGGGTAGTAAGTACTCTTATTCTGAAGCGATATTCTGTGCAAGCATCAAGACCAGTTATTTGTACATCGTTTCGTCGTATGGTCATTGTATCCTGGACGGGTCTACCCCCACCAGTAGGATCGTAGAGATCGACGTCATAGCCATCCAAAACACCTTGTAGGTTTTCACAAGAGGGTTCCTCCCACACAAAGTGCAATGAGTGAGCAGTAGAGGTGTACGAAACTGATTCAATGGCAGAGGGTTCTGTGAAGAAAGTCAAAGCGTTGAATAATTAATTAACAACATAGCAAATGTAAGTAGTTGTAAAGAGGTCATTCAAAAACTTACTTAAACCATAACAAAAAATGAAGTAGTCATTACGGAAAGTGACAATATTTATCTTATAATTTAGAATGTCATCATAAGGTCATGTATTAGGCTTTCCGTCATAACGATCATTGCAATAAAAGTATTAGGCCCTTGGCCTTCCCGGACCTACAGAATACTGCAGAGGTTATGCGTATATTAGGAAAAACTAATGATTTGATACGTGTTTTATGAAGTGGAATTGCTTGCCATGTTATGCATTACAAAATCTAGTATTCCGTGGGGTACACATAGGGGTTATGGTTTAAAGGACCTGTAAAATTGTTCAATGTTGAACAATTACAAATCGCTTTATACGATTTTGCATTTGATCCTTGTCTTATATCTAACAAGAGGCTGGTGATAAGTATAAAATAGGGAGCAAGCAAAGGCATTTGCATTAATATGTTCTATATTAGGGCGCGACAATTCGGAACCTGAAGGAACATACGCGATGAGCAAAGCGATCAAGCTTCAGAAACTTTCGCATTGAATACCTACATTTAAAAAAAAGTATGATGCTATTTATTCTGCAAGTTTAGGGTTTACATTATAATCATATTTTCTTTCTCTTTATACTCTTTCTCTTTCTCTTATTCGCTTTTTGTTTGCGCTCGCTTCAAGTGTCAACCGAAGCACGCACCCCCTCTGCCCCCTCCAGTCTCTCCTCCGTAGATAGCATGATTGTTTATTTACCTCCACCTCGTGTGTCTCCAATAACATTGATGGGTAAGCTCTCCTCTCCCCTTACCACGGCTATAATAGAAATGTTATAAGTTGTATAATATCCAAAGTTTGAAAGGTTTCTTGGGATATCTGTGGAAACTGATGTCACGTTGAGTTCGTAGACTGAAACATCCACAGGATCATCTTGACATGCTCTACGTGAGACGAGTTGATATGATACCCTGTAGTAATCCACATTGCATTGAGACGGAACACTCCAGTGAACTCTTAGTTGATTCCCAGTTGCATAAGCGGATGCATATGTGACTATATTCAACACAAATAGAGAGAATATTTTTTATTTTTAATCTTGCGAAATATCGTATATATTTCAGGATAGCGGCTTGTATTCTAGAAGGTTATATTACACCAACCAATAGCCATAACACAAAGAACCGCATGCCAGTCTTGCAACAACGTCTCGTTACATTTTCATGGATTTGCGAGCTCAATTTTGTGTACCTAAAGATGAAGCAAAATATATTTCTATCTGTGTAAATATTGAACATTGAGTATTGAGCATACGAATTGGAAGTCTGCCCAAAGCTAGATTATATATTGGGGTGCCTTAAGCATCATACTGCGATGGACTCAAGTGTTAAACAAGAAACAGATGTTATATGTTTATATTTTCTTATAACTTTATCAGGACCCTTTTCTACTTTTGATAACTGTAAGATCTATAATCAATACAGGGTCCATATCTGAACCACAGTCAATTATGATTATCATTAATACAGCATATATTGCATGACGTATGTAAATATTGAATAAAAAGAGGCTTACGTATTCAGTTAAGAATCCCCGCCCCGTACTGTCATTTTCATGTTTGAAATTCTTTATGAAAACGTTACGAATTTAATGTCGCCTAATAAAACGTAATGACTGAGATAGGGAGAAAATGTAAAATTGTAGAAACGACACTTTGTAACTGGGAAATATAGTTATCCCTACCTGAAAATCCTTTTTTGTCTCGATGCCTATTGACATATAAAGTCAAAGAAACTTTGGTATCACTATATTAGAATGTGGATCTCTCCCACAAATAATACTTAAGTATGCAGTTTTGGAACGAAATTCATTCAATTGAAGTAGGTCAACATAACAGGGCAATCTGACATCACAAGGGCGATTAAACCATTTATTCTCTATTTTACTATTCGACACTTACAAGTAACTCCTGTTACACCGATAGCACGAAACAGATTTTCAACATAGATCACATCACGGTTGACGGCATTGATATGCAGTTCGTACATCGTGCATGCCTTAAGACCATTGAACTCTACTGATGAGTATGAAAAGTCATTATCCAAGTATGTCCTCCCAGCCGGTAGCCCAACTCTATCACAATCCTTGAAGATTCTTAGATAGTAGTACCAGATCACTCCATTCACATTTCTACAGTTGAGAGGTTGCCAGGTGAATCCTAATCGCGTTGGAGACGTCCTTTCTGGATTCACCCTAACATTTGTAATGTTGGATGGTTCTAAAGTGAATCAGAAATATGAGAGAACTATCTAAATCCGTAAAAACGTGACGTGTTATTCGTTAATGTATTAAGGCTAGACTGAAGGTCGAAGGGAATATACATCGCAACCAAACGGTACCATTCATAATTTAAATGAAGCAAAAGTGGCACAGTGAGCGTTTTTTTTTCAATAAACACCCCCCCCCCCTTGAGCAAAAAAGAAAACGTAGATTTCTGGTCACAAGTATTTTGTTTACTTAATTTTTTTAGCCAGGGGAGGGGGGGGGGGGGGGGGGGGTGAGGCACTATTTTTGGGGGATCCCTTAATACCAGGGGCGTAGACAACGGGGGGGGGGGGGGAATGAGGGGGATGGCATGCACAATCATCCCCCCCCCCCAGGTTTTGGGGAATGATATTTGCTTACTTAATAAGTCATAATGATGATAATAATAGTAATAATAATAATGATAACAATTATAATATTAATAATAATAATAATAATTATGATGATGATAATAATAATCCTCATCATTATTGTAATTGTGTTTATTGTTATTAGCCGCATTCACACAGTGAAAGCCAATTCAGACGGTAAAAAAAAGAAAATCTTACAAGTATTTTGTGGTTATCTTGTGGTTTGGAAACCACAAGATAACCACAAGATTAAACAGGCGCGGATCTACGGGGGGGGGGGGGGTTTAGGGGGTTTAAACCCCCCTTGGGCGGCCCAAAAAACAAACAAAACAAAAAAAAAAGAAGAAAAAAGAAAGAAAAAAAAAAGAAAAAAAGAAAGAAAAAAGAACGCACGCTGGAGAGAAACCCTTTCAAGTGCAAATATTGTGAGAAGATATTCAACTCATCTGGTAACTTAACCAAACACATGATAACTCTGGATATAACTGTGTATTTAACTGTTACTTGATTTAAAAAGACGTTATCATGCACTGCTTTTTATGGTCTCCATTGTGTTAATAGATGCCAGGAAAACATCACTTACGGGGTTCAAATAAACACCCAAAAAAAAATCGGCTCGCCGCTTCGCGGCTCGTGGACGATGCTCTGCATCGTCATTATTTTGGTCAACCCCCCCCCCCCTTAGCAAAAAGCTAGATCCGCCCCTGAGTCATCCCCCCCCCCCAGGTGTACGAACCTGTCTACGCCACTGCTTAATACGGTACCGCGCGGTAAAAAAAATATATGCGTTTTCTTGGTCACACATGCTTACAGTATTTATATTTGATAGAGACACAAGGGCTAAAATAAGTTCATTACTCACGTCCAGGCCTGGTATTTGAATAGCCGATCGTGGGTTCACTCTGCCCGGTACCATTTACAGCTGTAACTGTGATCTGGTATCGCGAGTAAGGCTCCAACCCAGTTAGATTGTATTGTGTGACATTGGTGTTCAATTCAAACTCTGTTGGGTTGGTTTCTGGTGAAGAGCAGGCAAGCTTCTGATAGAGACTATAACGTATGATATAGTAGTCAGGGGAGCATAGGCTGGATGACAGTTCCCAGCTGACTTCAATTTGTGTGGTTGAAGGTGACATTTGTAGGGCTTCTACACTTGCGGGTGCTGGATATAAGTTTAAAATATAAATTTAAACGGAACTTGTAATTTGCAAATTTAGTAGATGTGTTTTGGGTATACACAAAATTGAACGAAAGTTAAATTTAACAAAGTCCTATGAAGCCATCAAAATGTTACGACTTTGTACTAACAAATATGATCGTGATGTTTTAAGTTGCGTAATATTCCAAGGTTGAAAGGTTTCTGGAGACATCCGTGGAAACAGACGTGACATTTAGTTCGTAGAATGAAACATCTATTCCAGGAACATCTTGAAATGCCAATATGTGAGATTGGGAAAGTTGGGATGTATGATAGAAGTGCGCCTGAGAATAGAAGTTATAGATAGATGGCGAAGTACAAATGCCTAATATTTGTACCACTTGTTTTACTATCAGTAGTAGTAGAACTGGAAATAGTAGTCATAGTACTAGTTGAAGTAGTACTTTCTCTCTCTAAAAAAATTGAAATTAGTATTATCATTATTATTTGTTGCTCGCAAATGAGATTCATTTACACGTTATATATTTTTTTTAAAGGAGCTGAGGTTTTCTGCCTCATATTTTAACACGCTTTTATTCTTATTTTGACTTATAAACCCATGTGAGCTTACGTGTATCACAGCCAACGTCCTGAATGGGGGAACTTCGAACTGTAAAACAAAACGTAAAACGATAATAAACAAGGAAATGATTAGGTATTTTAGACGAATGCATTCGCCCCCTCGTTCAATGAACACATGTTGTCTACACACGACAGGGTTTAAATTTACCACTATGCGAGAAACAATAAGTGTTCAAAATATGATGCTTTTAAAATAAAGCTCTTAACTGGAGAGCACGTACTTGTGAATATTGTAGAAGTACTTCCAGTTCGTCTAACAAATTATGTGCGGAAATCTTAATCTTAATACTAGATAGAAGAACGAATGAAAGACAAAAGCAGGGAATGCGTTTCAAATGATAACTAACTGCAAATCTAGTCACGAATTAGCTGAAACTAATAATCTATTCAATCCAAAAACGTGATTATAGATTTTTCCCTTTTGCTTTGACAAATGCAATAAATGGATTTTGGCTCTTCAATCGTGATGTTGTTTTTTTGTGATAATATTGTATATTAAATTAATATAAAACATACCAATAAAATAATTCCTATAAAAACGGACTATTCGAGAATAAAAAATCACCTTGACAGTTGACACCAGTCCAACCTTCTTGACACACAGTCCCATCAATGCATTCTCCTGTATCCTTGGCACAGAAGTTACGTGGAGAGCAATGGCACTCTTGCAAACAATGAACTCCATAGGTCCCCGGTTTACATTCTTTAAAAATATCACGGGGATTGATAAAGTAATAGATCATAATGAATATCATTATTATGAGGTAGGCCAAATGTGCTATTTAAACATAATAATTTAACATTGAGGAGTAGGAACAAAAGCCCATGTTGTTGACTTGATATTTAATTTCTAGAATAAATTCAAACAAATCCTAACATATTGCTCCGGTTGTCTCATTTTCGCCAGCACAAACGTAGCTAAAGAACGTATATAGCAGACGGCAATCGGCGGATCAGACGACACTTGATAGTGATTTTGTATGTGAGATTGTTTTGCTAAATATAAAATACAAGAACCTTTTTCCATATATTTAAACTATCATTGATATCTGATAATTTAACAGTTAGTAAAATAAACCTACCAAACTACATAATACAAAGAAATACTTGACTGAAAGTAGGGGCGTTTGATGTGGTGCACAATTGCACCCCTCTGTTAATAATCGAATAGTCCATGGTGTGTCATGAATATTCATGTTTTTGCTTACCTCGGCAAAATGTTTGCCTATACTAAATGTAAAAAATTGCGGCGGGGGGTTGGCTGAAGTGGACATAATGAACCAAGCAAAACTGATCTATGATAAATCATGCTTGTTATCCTTCATGTGCTTGACCTATTATCTTACAATCGCGTGGTAAATTGCGTCCAAAGTTCGACTTGTTACACATGCGTTATATATGCAATGGCGAGCTTAAATTCAGTACAGTGTCGAATAAAGTACCCAGATATGTTTGATATGCGCTTTTCTACATGTATTTGTAGAATAGGCCTTTTAAAAATTATTTATACCTATTTGATTCAAACAGGGCCGCTTTGAAGGATTTAAATAGAATCAATATAGTTTATAGTACATGGGTTTTAAAGCAAAGGCATTTTGTACATGCATGTTGTTTTAGGTATGCTACATTCTGCCCTTACAGAATTTGGCTAGGAAAATGCTTTTGTTGGACAGATTTGTATAGCTCCTTGCCAAAAAGTGGGATGGGGAAGCGTAATCCTTTATAATCTCGAATATTGTCAATTCGGTTTTCCTTCCTTATTATCGAGCACAATTTTCAAAGGCTACGAGCTTGTACATTAATGGCTATTTAAAAATATTTATACGGAAAAGCGTTCATGGCTAACCAGCTCTTCCTCATATATATATATATATATATATAACACTTGTACAAACATTTTGATTATAAAATAAAATCTCTTTTATATTCGCTTTTCGAAACACGGATAAAGGAATTAATATCCCTTGGAAAAGAATACAAATATTTGTTTTCAGTTTCATGATGACAGAATAATGCAAACTAAAACACTTTTACTTCCAACAAAAGCATCACTTGTTAAGAGATAACAAAACTGAGGTTTTGATGATGACAGAATAATGCAAACTAAAACACTTTTACTTTCAACCCAAGCACCACTTGTTAAAAGATAACAATATTGAGGTTTCGAATGGCAGAGTATATTCTATTATCGAATCTCTTTCATCATCAAAGAGGATTATAGCTCAGATATTATGATGTTACCATGTTTCTTGATACGCACTAAAAGCATTACTTTCAAGATACGCTATTCAGGATATACTTGTGCTTATTTTAAGTTCAGCTTTCACTAAATTAAAGGAAGCATAAATCAAACTGTGCGGAAATGTCATGATCATAGAAGACTAGTTGGCCTTTGAAAAACATTTCTTTGTAGACAATTTAGTTCTTCTCATTACATGAGATGCGAGGTCACACATGGGGCGGCCTCTCTTTCAGTCTTGAGAATCGTATGGTTTAACCCATTCATTAACTACAAATACAAATATATACGTTCTTCGTCACACATGTCTTTCGTATTCAGTTTTTGCTAATAATGAAAGTATTCTTTCATGTCTTTCCTCGTTATATACCTTCACTTTACGCATGAGAATATATAATATCACAAGCAGTAGAGAGTAATAACCTCTCCACTTCAATCCAATACAAATATTTGCCGGAATAGACATTCCAAGAACTGTTGAAATTTACATGTACATGTACATTTATGAGTAATCCAATGTTCCTCGCGTATTTTATTTCTTTCAAAATAATGTATTTAAGAGGTCTCTTGTGGTGAAAATATTCGCTTAGGGATGATTCCAGAGTTTGATTTACATGACTCAAAGTACCTGTTGTACAATCGATTCCCATGAATCCTGCTGCACAGGTGCATCCAAAGGGGTCTGGTAGGCAGAAGAGTTTACCCCGACACCCTGGACTGTGATCATCTCCTGAGGAATCACAAGCAAAGCTGCCATCCTGCCCAAACCGGTTGCTGCCCAGGACTTAGGATAAAGTGACAATAAAGAGATAAGGATACAAGTGCCTTCTTGATAATGTTTCATACGTAATACGGTATCAACATTGACTTGAGTTGAGTTTGATTTGCGTGATAGCGGCTATATTGAAAAGAGTTTAAGGTATTGAACGATCAAGAATGCTGTTTCATTATCCAAGGGTTTCATCGACTGAATCTTATTAATGAATGCTTAGGCCTATGCTGTTATTTGTTTCACTATACGTAAATTTTAGAGTATTGCAGATTTAACTTTATTTCAAGCATGTATTTTACATGAAATCGGTATTTTCATTCACATCACAAAATATTGAGCTGAATCTAAGAAATAAAATGAGTATGGCGTGTGTAAACAAAAAAGGTGTGGGGGGGGGCACAAGTTCATCCACTTTGATAAAAGGTCATCCATGAAACTTAACGGTCGAGACCTTATTTGTGTGTGTGTGTATGTGTGATTAGAATGTAATCCACCTGTACCCCCGCCTTGTCTATGCCAATGTCCCGAAGTGCAGAGGACCCATAGAAGTGTAACCTACCGTGTTCACATGTTGTCCCGTTGAAACCAGGAGGACATACACACTCTCCTGAGTCTGCATCGCACTTGCCTCCATTCAGACACTCGGTACAGTTGTATTCACACTCAGATCCCCAACGATGAGCTGGGCATCCTGTTTGATGTAAACCGTATTAGTATTTCAAAGTGGATAAGAATCCAGCATCTAAACAATATCAGAAGTAGATAACCGATATGCCAATATGCATCGACATGCCTGCATTCTAACTTTCTATCTGTAAATCCCCCCTTACACATACAACATATAACACTTGTCAATATCAAATTTTCAATATGCTGATATTATTGCCTTTGTTTAAAGGGAAAAGGAATCTATACAAACAAATGCCATGTTAGTATGGAAACAGCTGTGAAAATACGCTGACATCCACAGAACATAGATACATTTTTAGGACCTTTCGGATTAATTTCACTGATATTTCGCTAAAAGCAATAATGTAGAATTGTAATTACTTTTGTTGCAAGTTCAACGGTCATGTTGGAAATGAAAGATGCTTCGTAATAACAGAATATGTAAGATACATGTACGGATAGGTAAGCTATCAACTTACTGATGACATGAAGAAGGAATATTGCATTTTCTGCATCCAATCGTTTTCCAGCAAAACACTTATATACCCCAGTTTGGTTTAGTTGCACGTTCTCCAAAGTTAGACTCTGCCTTCCATCACTGCCATATATCTTTTCACCATTAAACCGCCATTGGAGGTCACCTTTCGTCATGTTGGTGACAACTGCGATTCTTACA